GGCCCCCAGCGGAGGCGGAATCCGGGGGAGAGCGGGTGGGTGGGCGACGGGAGGCCGGAGCGCGGGGCTACCGGAGAGGGCGGGGCGACCCCAACTCCCAGACTCGGAGGGGGTGGGTGGCTCGCCGGCGCAGACCTTGAACTTTCCTCGCTCCAGTGATTCCTGGGGTGCAGAGTAAAAGCCTTACCTGGCGTTTGCTAATTAAACGAACAGGTTGCAGCTCACGGGGGTTTTCCTTAAAAAAGCAAACTTGAGGCTTCGGTGTTTACGAACTTCACCGTGGCCAAATCGAGCCCGACAGGGCTCCTGGGGGGATCCCGCGGGCCCACAAGTGTGTCTGATCCACAGCTGACACTTGGGCTACCATTATCCTAGTACCTGCTGTGGAATTGTCATCCGACCTGGGAGGGGCCCCGGTCCGTTAGGGAGGGGCCCCTTGGGTCTCCAGCGTTGGCCATCAGATAACATATGGATCCCTGGAGTAGCTTCCTTGGTCCACTGTTGGGGACAGCAGAGCTCCACCGCAGGGCCTGACCCTAGGCCAGGAGTGGGCTCTGGAGAACCCCTTGTCCCGATTGAGGCGAGGACTCCCGACAACGGTAAGGCACCTGGGAGCCAGAGTTTACTGATGGAGTGGAGGCAGGAGGCAGGAGGTTTCCGAGGAGACCTCCTTGGGCACGAGTGGCCCCTTGTATGGGGATAGGCTTGGGAATATATAGGCTTTAGGACTCTGGTCTGAGAAGAAAAAGTTCACCTTCGTTGGCCAAGAAAACAAAAGGAACGTACCCTTCATTGGGCAAAGGTGGTTGTTAGTGGCAGGCATTCTGCATAGGTGTTTCCCAGGTTCCTTTAAGGTCTGCAGTTGTAGCGACCGTTGCACAATGTCATTTGGTCTGGTTTCAGTTTTTCAGTTCTTTTTCTCTCTGGACCACCAGCAACCTGTGGACTATCGTGATGGCTGTAGCTTGGTTAGTATTGTGCATATTTTGTCAGCAGTCATCAGTTGTGGCCCTCAGGGATTGGGACTTAGCTGCTTGCCTCTGTCGAATTGGGAGGCTTTAGAGAGTTATGTTCTCTAGGCCACTTAACTGGAGTTGCATCCAGGAAGCTTACATATTTCTGGAGTCAACAGATTTTCTGGGAGCTTCTTGTGAAACAATGAGAAGGAAGAAAGTTAAAGAGGATGCTGATTGTTGTTATTCCAAGCTCTGAGTCCCACCCTAGCTCAGAACAATAAACTGAGAGTTGTGTGTGTAGGTGTGCATCTGTGTGTGATGGGAGTAAACATTTATGTGTGGCTATGAGTATATAGGACCCCAAATTTTTCCAAGTACATTTGTGTTGAGTAAATGTATTTCCCCTAGTAAGTTATAGCATTTTTGAAATCCACCGGTGGACTTCTGGAAAGCATTTGGGATTTTGTTTTGTCTTCAGAAAAAAGTTCATCCAATTTATTGAATATAAAGACTACTTTTCCTTTATTGAATTTTTCCAGGCCTGTATTTTCTAATTACCTTCTACCCCAATCTTTGTAGGTTAAAGGTAATGAATTGTGACATTTTGACTCAGGTATTTAACCTACCCCCACCCCACCTCCATCTGATCCTTATGATTAGAAATCTGCACTTGTCTGTTTAATTTTCTGCTTGAGACTGCCAGTCATGTAACAAATAATTTCAGAAATGAACTTTACTCATGAGCTGTTACTTTCTCTGTGTTTAGAATATTAGTGATCATAAACAGATTGCAACTAAAAGGGGAGGCTAAGTACTTTTAAGTAATTCACTGTTGATCATTTTCAATTTCATGACATAAAATGACATGTATTTTGACACTTCGATGACAAGTTGTCTAATGTCTTTGTTAAGAGAACCTCAGACCTACTTTGTTTTCAGATTTTCTGTTTCAAAACTTGCATTGGTTCAATGCTTTGCTAGCCCAAGATCTGTAGGAGAAAAACAAAGGAGAAAATTCACTCAGGTTGAAACTGTGTAAGAGGAAGTATAGGAAGCAATTTGTGGATATGATCCTCTAAAGTTGCTGGGGACCACAGATGCCAGGCTGGTAGCTATTCCAGCCACTGATGTGGTTTCATTGATTGACTTAAAAGGTTGCATTTTATTGAAGAGGCTGTGTGATCTATTGTATTGGACTAAAAAATAAGAAGTTCCAACTTCTGTTATTATTGCTATTTGTGTTGTTAAAACCTGTATTATGTAAAATGCTATGTGTCATCTCCCCATGTGTGCCTTTTCAACAATAATTCCAGGTAATATACTAAGATAGCCCTACCCCAAGGTTAGTCCAGATTCAATTATGTTTGGTTTTCTACCTTCCTGCCTGTGTCCTTTTATAGATAGGCATCCCATTATCAAACCCTGTTCTCTTTTGCATGTACTCTCTTTTTTTTTTTTAAAGATTTATTTGTGTATATAGAACTGGGGTACAGGCCAGAGGTTCAGGAGCGGCGAGAGGCTTCACTAGAGACAGAGTGGGAAGCAGAACAGGCAGATCGACGAAGTACACTGCTGAGGGGAGCAGCAGGCGGGTCAGGAGAGGTCTGCCACACCATGTGGTCACCTCCGGGGCAGGCGGGAATCGAACTCATATGGAAGTGGCTTTAGCTTCTTAGTTCTGTGCTTTAACCTACTGCACCATTAGGGAGGGCCTCGCATGTACTCTTAAGTGTATTTTTCTCACCCAAGGCTGGGCCACCATCTATCCATCATCTGTACATTTCTTTTTTCATTGTTCTTTCGTCAGCAAATATTTACTAGGCCTGACTCATCATTCGGTACTTAACTTTCTTCCAATTGAAGCTTTACTCGGTATTTTATGTTTTTCAGGATAGGGAACACAGTGATAATGAGTCCTTTTTATTTAAAGACTTATTTTATTTATTTATGCATACAAGAACTGGGCTGTACAGTCCAGAGGTGCAGGAGATGAGAAGATTCACCAGAGACAGAGTGGGGAGCAGAACAGATGGATCCCCTGACATCCACTTCTGAGGGGAGCAGTGGGAGAGACAGGAGAGGTCTGCTGTGCCCTGTCGGTCAGCTTTCTGGTCTGGAATTGAACTCAGGTGTTAGCAGTGGTCACTCTCAGACTCAACCCCTAAGCCAAAGGGAGGCCTCTGGTTCTTTCTTTTAAATGAATCCAGAAGTTGATCCATTTTCACCCATCAAACCCAAGTGGCCCTTGTCACATTCAAGCCTCATTGTGACCCTTTCCAGCTTCTCACCTCACACAGTTGGAGAGCCCACGTGCACAGTGTGACTCCGAGACTGGATTTTGCTAATTCCTGAACCTCATCTTCTTTCGTGCACTTGGGATCCAGGCACAGTGGTCTCCATATTGTTCTTTAAATGCCATAATCATAGACCCAGGGCTTTGCTGGTTTGGATTCTCTTCTGGATCATTCTTCTCCTAGATACTTACTTGCCTATATATATACCTTCTTTCATGTCTTGGTTCACATCTCACCATCTAGTGAGCCTTCTTCAGCCCCCTCTCTCTTGAAACACCTGTTAACTTTCACCCGCTTTAATTTTCTCCATCAACTTAAAACTTAGTAAAATACTCCCTGTTTAATGTCTGTTTTCCCTCAATGAGACTAAGAAGCTGGGCAATAATAGTGCTTTTTGTTAGTAACCCCTTACACTAAGGCCAGTGCCTGGCACAGATAAGTATCTGTAAAGCTTGAACAAATGAATCATGAATGTTGCCATGGCAATAACAGATCTGGACTCATCGCTTTCTACAACTTTTGGATGGGTAACATAAGCTCACTGAGCCTGAGTTTCAGTATTTGTACATGAAGGATCACTTTCATCCTTTACCTTGTTTAGTTGCATTAAAATCCTTTCCCACTGAGATTAGCATATAGAATCACATTTTGAATGTAGTCTAGAGTTAATATTATTTATATGCTCATTTTAGTAGGTGACCAGAAGTCACTTATATATATATTTTAAAGATTTATTTATTTATGCATACAGAACTGGGGTACAGGCCAGAGGTACAGGGGCAGTGAGAGGATTCACCAGACACAAAGTGGGGAGCAGAACAGGCAGATTGATGAAGTACACTGCTGAGGGGAGCAGCGGGCAGATCAGGAGAGGTCTGCTGCGCCATGTGGATCACCTCCAGGGCTGGGGATCGAACTCGCACTGAAGCTGCCACGGCTCTGCAGTGCAGTGCTCCAACCTGCTGCACCACCAGGGAGGGCCCCTTACTTATATTTTTAATTGTGGTCTTCTGAGTAGGTAATGGCTGGACAAGGGAGATGGATGGACTTACAAGGGAAACCTCCTTTATATTCACCATAACCCTAAAACAAGTGCTTTCACTTAGGATTATACTGGTGAAGAAAGAAAAATCACAGAGAGGGCCGGGATTTGCTCCTGGTCACAGAGCTAGTGAAAAGCAGTCAGGTAGAACTAGACCCCACTTAGATGGCCTGTAAAACAAATGCCCCAACTCCTTTGATGGTGTTTATAGAGTCTCTAGTGGTGGGATTTTGCCCATTAAAAACTCTAGGTGGCAAAATGTGGTTGAAATATAGGCTATTAGTTTTACTCATTGATAAGGAAATAAATAATTTCAATCTTTGCCTGTCCTTTTATGTTTTAAAGATTTATTTTTATTTATTTATGCATACAAGAACTGGGATGTAGGCCAGAGGTGTGTGTGTTTGTGGTGGTGGTGGTGGTGGGGGGGGGTGTGCCATGAGAAGATTCACCACAGAGTGGGGAGCAGAACAGGCAGATCTACTGAAATCTACTGCTGAGGGGAGCAGTGGGTGAGTCAGGAGAGGCCTGCTGTACTTTGTGGGTCACCAACCTGCTTGGGGATCTAACTCAGGCATAGTGCTGAGACTTAACCTTGAGGCCATCAGGGAGGCCCAGTTTTTGTTTTTATATAACTTGTTAGTTCATCAGGGACTTTTCTATGCACATCCATAATTTCTTTCTTAATGCAAGTGATATATTCTATATACATCATACTTGTCATTACTATCTCTGAACCAAGATTCCCACTTTGGGCATTGAAAGTCATACTCCTAAAATCCTTGTTTTCCTTTTATTGTAAACACCTTAATAAATAATGAAGTGTGATACTCTGGTTCAACTGTTATTATGTTCCCTTATTAGGTTATCGATACCCTGGTCTAGGCTTTGATAATCTTTTGCTTAAAACAGTTGATGTTGCCTCCAAACTAGTCACTCCATTTTCCTTATGCCTCATATTTTTCCAAGTTGGCAGAAAAATCTTTCTAAGGTTCTACTTCAATCAGTTTTATCACTTTTCTGCTTTGATATCATTGATTCCCTGTTCTCTGTGCAGAACAATACAGGACAAGACCCCTGCATAATCTTCCTTGAACTGGCTCACTCTGTCCTCCGTGTCCCCAGCCCGCTGTCTCTCAGCCACACATAGTGCTACATCCTGTGCCTGTCCCCACTGCCCTCCTCTGTTTCTTTGCGCACAGTTTCCTCCCAGCTGAAATGTCCTCATTGCTCTCTCCTTTTTCCTTGGACTCTTCAGTCTGAAGCACCATGTGAAGCCCTGGCTCGTGGTGAAATGTGTGGCATCC